TGGCTATGAGTGACCCCTTGTTGGTATGTAAGGACTTCAATATGTTTGTGGATAAGTGAAATTTAAAGCACAAGTTTATGCTGGTGTAAAAAAAAAAATTCCAAAATCTATGCAGTTTTTTTTCTAGCATGCATTTTCCATGAGCTTTCTGAAGACACCCTCCCATCTGTCATTCCATGAAATGATGTTTGTATAGTGAAAAGATTTGTTGCTGAGATTTCTGCCTAGAAAAGTATTGCAGGACTTGATGTTGAGTACGGATCAGGCATGGCATCCCTCTCATGTACAGTGAGGGTCCTGACTCCCATGCAGCAGACCTGCGCTCCAAGACACCACAGCTCGCCAGGCCTGCCGGAGCTCAGGGTGCGGCACGTTCAGAACCCTCACCGCGGGCTCCCAGGCTAAACAGGCTCAGCGCTTGCTGCCCGCTGGAAACCGGGATTAGACCGGGTAAACAGCGTGGGCCGGCCGCTCTCGGCATCTTGGAGGGGACGGCCCGATGGGCACTGCTGTTTTCCATCACTTAGAGGCCGTGATTCGATTAGGCCAGCCTTTCCATAGAACTGCCATTGCTTTCCCTTCGCTTCCAGGCCTGACGCGAGTAAATCACTTCGATAACATCCCTTTCCCTCCTGGAGGCCAGCACAAGTGATGATGCCAGTGGCCAGCCAGGAAAAGTGGGTGTAATGTACTTCCGATAGCAAAGCAAGCGTCTCGCGAGGCAGAAATGCACCGTGTTTGGAAAACGGTTTCTCTCAGTGTTTATTTGAAAGGGGTTAATGACTTTAGGTAAGGGTGCTCTTAGAGAGGCAAACACTCGACTCTTGGATCTAAACGTTTGGTACGAGGACGTACACTGAGTGGCGTGTGCTCAAGTCCCAGGCAGAGGAGCACACCTCGGAAATGCACTGTCGTAACCCGGTCACTGGTGGCCATTCCTTATAGCTACAGAGGCAGGAATTGTTTCTGAGAGAGAGATTTTTGCTTTAGGGCACATGTGCTCGCTGGAGACAGAGAGAGATGGAGAGAGCGAAAGTGAGAGAGCACCCCTGGGGGAGGGGGGCCCCGGTGCAATCCTGTCTCCATCATTCTCATCTCAGGATTTGGGCCTGCGTGTCCACAAGCCCAGCGTTGAGTTTCGAGCTGCTGGGTCCAGGGCTCAAACCACGGTCAGCCATATGGGAGTCCAACGTCTTAACCACTGTGCCACCTGCTGGCCTAGAAAATGTTTTAGGATATTGAAGCAAATTTGTGTGCAAATAATCACTTACTTCCTCTCTAAGTTCATTTTAAATATGGGCAACATGGCGTGTGGCTCAGCCCTGCAGGCCATCAGCTTGAACGTGTATTATGGTTGTCATTTTAGTAGGGCCCGCTTAGTGACCCAGCCGCCCCGGTACAGTAACGCCGACGTTACAGTGAATTATGTCCTGAGTAAGTGAGACCTGGCGTAGGCCTGCCAGGGTCAGCGCTGTCTGCGAGCGGCATGTAGGGATGAGACGGGGCAGCCGGCAGATTAGCGAGGGCCCGTGTCCTGCCACGCTGTCATTTCCACTAACTCTGGCACTTCATATAACCACTGGTGGCACCTCTGAGTGAGTAACAAAATGCTTCATTCAACACGTGTAACTCCAGGGATCCAACAGCCTGCTCCAGGGATTTCTGACATAGGCCAAACGGTTAAACAAGTGATAAGAACTTACTAAAAACCTAACATTTTCTGTGTTATGATAGGTATAATTTCATGACAGAATTTCCAATAACATTCTAGTCCATTTCTCCACCAATGTCAGTATTTAATCAATGAGAAAATTCCTTTTATTTGGGTTACATTATTCTGCATTAGGATTATTCAGACAGAATAAATTAAAGAAAAATAGAACCTAAGAGAATAAAATATATAATGTATAAAAGATACACTTTTAAAAATAATTTTATTTATTAATTATTATTATTATTATTAAATTTGTTATAAGGCATGTGTGCTCACCAGAGAGAGACGGAATGAGAGAGAGTGAGAAAGCGAACTACCAGGTATGAGACTCGAACTGCCGTCAACCATATGGGGTTTCAGCACCTTAACCACCATGCCACCTGCTTGCCCCAAAAGGTATCCTTCTGTGTGGCTTCTGTATTTCCTGCGTTTCTCTGACATGCCAGACAATAGTTTAGGTGGTTCGAATGCCTTATCGCCTGTGTCCTCATGGTTATAATCGGTGTCACTGTCCTCTGCTTTATTTTTCTGTGCCTGGTTGTCACCACCTCAGGTACTGTGTGCTTTTCTCAGTCTTGTCCGTCTCTCTCTCTCTCGTCCCCTTACTCTTTCTCCCATTAGGCAGAGATTTTTTTAAAATGCTTTGTCCACTGCTGTCTCCATAATTCCTAGAATAACATCTTATTTATAGCCACGACTCAAAAATATTTCTTAATGATTGAATGGCCCTCTGAGGCAGAATTTTACAGATCAAGAGAGGCTAAGGAAGCAGCGAAGGAACATGGCTATCGGAGGTCTCCCTATTCACCCAGTCCCTCACCCATTCCTGCACCGATTCCCCCACCCACTCCCTGCCAGTCCCTCACTCACTCACCCATTCCTGCACTCATTCCCTCACCCATCCCCCGCCCATCCCTGTACTGGTTCCCACACCCATCCCCTCACTAGTTTCCACACCCATCCCCTCACCCATTCCTACATCCATTCCTTCGTCCGTCTCCTCACCCGTTCCCACACCCATTCCACATCAGTTTGATGGATGTCCCTAAAGCCCACGCCATATCCCACGCACCACGCTGCCTCGCATGCGTGTTCTGCACTGATGTGTCAACATGGTCCCTACAGGTATTGCCAGCCCAGTGTAACAGGCCCTCCTTTCCTTTAAAGGTTCGTGTTCATTGGTTTGTTATCGGAGTCTCACGGCATGTTCTGATTTGTCAGTAATTGAGAATAAACAGTTCACGTGTCCAAAATGCCAGAGGCACGGAGGAGTACTCGTGAGAAGTACCCTCACATCCCTGCCCTCCATTCCTAACCTGCCTGCTCGTGAGCGCCACCTGGGAGCTTCCACCATGACTAAAACTGCCCCCCCCCCCCCCCCCCCCCCCCAGGCTGGGCTCTAACTGGTCTAAGGACGAGGCTGGGCTTTGGGAATTTTAAAAGAGCCAAGAGGAGCATTGCTTTGGGTAAAGGTAAACAGTAGGGCCAGGAGGACCCTCTTGCCTGAGTGACTAAGAAAGATACGATATACCAAGTGGTGGCGTGTAGGACACTGAGAACTAAAGACCTAGATAAATGGAGGTATTCTGGTCCATGGGGTGAAACACCCACCTATGGTGAAGACATCAGTCCTCCACAGCGTGGGCTATAGATGTAATACAATCTTTATCAAAATAATTATTTAATTTACCACTATCATTTTAAATTTTCTATAGGGATGTGTGTTCACCAGAGAGAGAGAGAGAGAAAATGAGAAAACAAGCCTTCAGGCCCAGGACTCAAACCATGGTCAGCCATGTGAGAATCCAGCACCTTAACTACCACACCACCTGTTGGCCCCATGTTTAATATCATCTTGACTTTAAAAATCCCAGTAGGATTTTTTTTTGGTAGAAATTGATAAAGCAGTACTAAACTTTTTCATATGGAAATGCAAAAGAGCTAGACTAGCTAAAACAATTCTGAAAATGAAAAATATAGAAAAATATAGATGGAGTAATACTACTAGCTAATTTCAAGATTTTATTTAGCTATGGTAGTCAAGACGGTGTGGTTTTGATGTCTAGACCCACAAATAGAATAGGTACAGGCATAACGGAGAGTCCAGAGGGGAGCCCAGGCATAGACGCTGGAGAAGGGTTCCTTACCCCGACCAGTAACGCTGAAATCATGAGCGGTCCCACAAGGAGCACAGCGTGGACACCAGCCAGAGCCTTCCACAGCTCGAAAAGTCACACTCGATGAGCCGTAGGCCTCCGTGGAAAACCACACCCAGCAGGGCCAGCAGGGGGCGTGGTGGCTGAGCTACTGGACACCTTTCAAGTCCTGGATCCAGCAGCTTGAAACTCACACCAAGTACGCGCGCGCGTGTGTGTGTGCGTGTGTGTGCCCCAAATCCCAGGAGAGTAGAGAAAGGATGTGGCACAATCACGACCCCTGCGGGGTGATTCCTCACTTTTCCTCTCTCTGTCTCTCTCCAGGCAGTCCATGAGCCCTATGGCAAAAACCCAAAATCAAGCAAACACCCTCAAGGAGAAATGTTTGTGGTTTGTGGTTAGGCAAGTGTTTCGGGTATACTCTTAAAAACATCATCTATAAAATTACAGATAAATTGGACTTTGTAAAAATTTAAAAACTACTGCTTTTTTAAAAAGATACTGTTGGGATCAGCAGATGGTGTAATGGTTACATCACTGGACTCCCTCGTAGTTGGCCATGGTTCAAGTCCCGAACTCGGCAGCTTAAAACTCATGCTAAGTGTGTGTGCATACATGCCCAAAATCCCAAGAGGAGAATGGAGAAGGGATTGTAGCGTGGCCATCTCCCCTGGCAGGTGATTCTCACTTTTTCTGTCTGTCTTTCTGTCTTTCCAGTGAGCACATGTGCCCTATAGCAAAAATCTCTCTCTTAAAAAAAATAAATAAATAAAGATACTGTTTAGGAGAGGGAAAGACAAACCAGAGACTGGGAGATATTGGCAAATATATATACACACACACACACACACATATATATTTGTAAAATATAGACAGAAACCGCAAAACGGGAAACAAACACCAGCATATGCACATCTGAATAGCCAGAACTTGGCCGTGTCGCGCACACGTGCCACGCCTGCGGCACTGCTCCACCGCAGAACAAATGTGCAGGCTGTGAGTGTTCTCTGCCCCAAGTGCCCTTCTCGTGCTGAGCAATGGTCCCTCGGACCAGCTCATCCCCGCTCAGACTTCCCCCTCCCCCGAGCACCTAGCTTTTCAGGGACCTCACGACGTGTGTCTGCAACCAGGGAAAGCGTGGAGAGCCTGATCCAGAAGCACTCGTACGCCCGCTCGCCCATCCGCACCTACGGGGGAGAGGAAGACATGCTGGGTGAGGAGAGCCAGACAGCCCCGGCCCGAGGTGAGAGGCGCAGGGCGCCGGGGCCCCGAGGACGTGCAGGTGGGGCCGAGGCCTGGTCCCCGTGCCCCTTGTCCACAGCGACTCTGGAGGCTCTTCGGGAGGGTGGCCTGATGCTGATTCTCATACACTGTGCTGTTTCCCTCTGAGCTGCGGTGACTGGGCTGCCTGAAGGTGTCCCGGTGTAAGGACACAGGGACCTCGGAGTCACAGGTTGGGTGGCACTTGTGACTTACTACCGAGGATCTGTTGAACTTCAGGGGCATCCCTTGGTCTTTCTAGACCTCAGCTTTATAATCTGAAAACCAGGGAATAAACATGTCCCACCTACATCTTCAATGTCTCATTAGGACCAAAGACCAAAGTGGGTAACACTTTGAAAAGGGATTGGCCTAGGGAATGTCAGAGATAGTGGCCCAAACGGTGGGGACAGGAAGGTACAAAACCTGCCCCAGCAGAGGCTCAGGGAGCAGCTGCCTGCACCTAGGAAGAGCCCAGAGGAGAGGCCAGCAACGCCCTCCCTGGGAGCAGGGGTGCTTACACGACGGGCGTCCTCTGATGACCCCGCGTCTGCGACATGGACACCGCGTACTCCCTCCCAGCCGGCCACTGGGAAGTAACTACTCAGCTGGCAAGTGCCCGTCAGCTCCTGGCTGCTGCAGTGCAGGGGCCCTTCCTGGGTGGAAACAGGTCGCTCTGAGACACATGGCTCTAGCCTTCCTCATGCAGACACCGCGAGGCTGGGACCAGCACGCGGGGTCTCCGCGATTTTTACGAAGAAGGTGCACTGCAAAAGCCTAGGCATGAAAGGATGTTTTCCTGCACCAAAATAAACTCAAGCTTTAAATTCTCAAAGCTTGTGATGCCCCTTGTGTGGACTGTGTGGGCGGGTGCTGGCGGGCACTGTGGGTGTGCCAGCCTTTAACTCTGCAAATTCTCTCCTTCACGTGGGTGCAAGTAGCTTATTTGGAAAGGTGGATTTGCCCCAGGAAAAATCTCCTGTATGTTTGTCTTTCATTATGTATTTAAGTGTTTTCTTTATTCGTGATAGAATGCATGCATACACACAAGAGGGGCTGAGAGACAGAGAGCGAGCACCGTCCAGAGTGGTGGGGCTGCGATTCCTGCCTCCCAGCTGCCCACGCGTGCCTGGCATGTGTTCAGGCTGACCGGCGGCCTGGGGCTCCGGCCTCTCGAGCAGCGTGTTACCACTGCGCCGTGGCTCGGCCGCTGGTCATTCAAAGTTTGGATCTGTGAAGTGTTTAGAAAATACGTCGATCTGCACAGACCGCCGAATTCTCGGTCTGTGTGTGGAAAGGTCTCCAGGCTAACACGTCTCTCCTGCAGGCTCGGCCTTTACCACGTCTGACAACTTGTCTCTCAGCTCCTGGGTCTCCTCCTCCGCTGCCTTTCCAGGATTCCAGCACCCGCAGTCCCTGGGCGCGCTGGGCACCAGCACCGCACCCATAGCGACGCCCATTCCTCACCCCATGCAGGGCTCCCTGCCGCCCTACAGCCGCCTGGGGGTGCCTCTGACCCCCTCGGCCATCGCGGGCTCCATGCAGGGGAGCGGCCCGACCTTCCCATCCTTCCACATGCCGCGATACCACCACTACTTCCAGCAGGGGCCCTACGCCGCCCTCCAGGGACTGCGCCACCCCTCGGCTGTGATGACGCCCTTCGTATGACCCCCCCACCGGAGGCTCCCGGGCAGGGTGGCGGAGGGGACTGAACGCCAGGACGCGGGGCTGGAGCAGCAGCAGGGGCTCTCCAAGGCTGGGCCTTCCCGGGCAGGAGAACGGGACTCAGACAGCTACCAGGGGAGGGCGCGCCGGACTCAGCGCCAGCCGGGACGAGTCCCTGCAGACCCCCAGCGTTTGGTGACAGAGCTACTCCCACACACTGCTCCTGGCGTACACATGCGGAGTCGGGGCGGCAGTGCATAAACTCGGCGTGGACAGGTTTTCTTCCTGCTTCCTACGGGTGGAAGGGCCTTCCCAGAGGCGGTGCCACGTGCATCCCCACCCGGTCGGCCGCCTTCCGCAGCCCTGGCTGTAAGAAGGCCGGGAGGTGCTCTGAGGCTGGCTCAGCCTGTCCCTTTCTGCTCAGTGTGGGGCGGGCTGTGCGGCCGCCCTGTCCGTGGGCGACTGTGTGGGGACGACTGCAGGAGGCCTGGTCGCACCCAGGGCCGGTGCCAAGGTTGGAGTTGCTGATCCGGTCTCTTTCCTGATGCTCTGGGAACCACTAGCCTCCGTCGAGGAATCTTCCATACAGCCGGGAAGCAAGGGCCTCTCCAGGCACACGGGCACGTGAGGCCGACCCTTCTGGACTGCGTCCTGGAGCCTCGCAGGGCCGGCGGGGGCTTCCGCAGCTGCATCCTGGCACCCTGTCCTGATAGGAGCCTCCGCGCGGCCAGACCCTTAGTTCACTTGGGCTTTGGGAGCCTCCCTGGCAGTGGGGCCAGATTCTTTGAGAGCGCCTCTGAAAGCCGGGAGGCTGAGGGCGGCTCTGGGCGGTGACTCCGCGTCCCCTTGTCCTTTCTGCTCCCTGTGTCACAGCTGGGACTCCTGTGCCATTTTCCAGTCCACACCATGAGCCTACATGTGGGCAGCTGACGTCCGAACGGAAACCTGGCACTTGGAAGTAAGCCTGGCGCATCGTCCACCCTCCTGTCTTCTTCGCCTTCTTTTAACGTTTACGATAGGAATTCATTCTATTTTAGTTTAATTTAACCTGTATATTATTATTATCATTATTAGTATTAGGTTTTTGCCTTAGGGCACATGCACTCCCTGGAAAAAGAGAGAGACAGAGAGAGGGAAATGGAGAGATCACCCCCCAGAGGGGTGGCCACACCACAGTTCCCTCTCCTCCATTCTCCTCTCAGGATTTTGGGCACGCATGCACACGTGCCTGGCATGACTTTCAAGCCACCAGGTCCAGGTCTCGGACTGTGGTCAGTCACTTGGAAATCAAGCGCGGTAACCAGCACGCCACCTGCTGGCCCCACCCTGCACATCAGTCCTGAGCTTGCGGCAGGGCAGCCTTTGCAGCCAGAGTAACAGGCATTTGCGACAGTCCACTTCCCTAGGAACAGCTGTAATGCACAGTGGTCACTCAGCTTTGCACCTAATGCATCCCAGCTACAGGATGTAAACTGTCTTAGCACAGTTCCCCAAAACTCTACTGTAATTTGATTTTGTAGCTAATGTTCATTTTATTCTGTTCTTACTGCAAAAGTATGGAGTCTGTTAAGAGGGCTGGGAATATTGCTGCTGACAGTAGAAGTGTATTTGGGGGTGAAAGCCGTATATTACCACACCAGGCTCCTGTGGGACTTCCCTCGCTCTTTTCATGTCAGCCTTGCCCGTACCAAAGGCCTGCCCTGGCATTTCTGGCCTGTGAGACAGGACGCCGTGGCCTGGGCCGTCCAGGGGCTGCCGCTGTGGGCCTTGGCACCTGCCGCTCCCACGGTGCCCAGAGCATCCTGCAGAGAAGCATGGCAGCGTCCCCCACGGCACGGTGTCCCCCACGGCGGACACCGGCTTCCTCCTGACTTCTCGCGTGTCTGCTGTAGTAGCCGCAGGGAGCTAGTTTCCAGCAGGCCAGCTGTGCACGTCTTCCACCAAGAGTGACAAGTAGCAGGTGGAGAGCTGGCCATGGAGCGAGGGCCGGGCTCGATGTTTGATGGCCGACCTGTGGCCGTTCTCCCTGAGCACAGAGCGCCGTCTGAAGGCACGGGCGACAGTCTGAGAAGCCCCTGGTCTGTCAGTGACTGCGTCTGTGTTTTCTTTTCAAAGAGAATGAAAGGACGATTTTAGTACTGTTTTGACATTTCTCCCAATCTGTGTGTCTCAGAGTAGGTTTGTGTGTTTTTGTTAAATTCAGTTTTACACCAGAATTTCCTTAGAACTTTGTTCTATAATTAAGCAGTATAAGACTGAAAATAAGTAGAGCACTTGAGGAAAAGCAGAGATAAGATAGAGAAGCATGCTCTGAACTTCTAAATTAGATTTTTTAAGTTTTTCTTTTTTTGGAGAGGTTTATGCTATAGGGTGTGTGCGCTCACCAGAAAGAGAGAGACAGAGAGACAGAAAGCGAGAAATCACCCCCAGGGGGGATGGCCACGCCACAGTCCCTTCTTTATTCTCCTCTCGGGATCTTGGGCACGCACGCACATGCGCTCAGTGTGAGTTCAAGGCACTGGGTTCGGGACTCGAACTGCTGTCAAGTACGTGGGAGTCAGCGACATAGCCATTACGCCAACTGCTGGTCCCCTTTTTTTTTCTCGTTGATATTATTTGAACCAAAAAGAAGCACAAGTGAGATGGAGCTTAACCTAATCAGCCTCTCTGGTCGAGGAAACGGGGAAGAAACCAGCCTGGCTCTCTGGCTGTTGATCCATTTTAACACTTGAGAGCTTAGAATGTGAAATTGCAGTGTTCATCCTACAGAAAGTAATTGCAAAAACTATGTAAAGGGAAGGCCAACGGAATAATCCAGAGCATGGGCTGTAATAAACTGGGAACGGGCCCAGGGTCTCCCCCACGTCTTACAGGTCGGGAAGCCCGGTCACAGGGCAGCAGGGCCGGAGGAGCCCTGCCCGGCCGCCTTCCCTGCCCCGGGATCAGCGCCCAGGCCGCTGGCTCTGTGTGATTGGCTGGGAGAACATTAGCCAGTCGTCCTCGGAGGTTCAGTCAGTTCTAACTTATCTAGTATCGTCCCTGCCCTTCACCCACCCTAGTGCCACCCGAGCACACACCCGGCCGGAACCTACGTGTCATGGGCGACAAGGCAGCAGGGTCTAGACGGAGGTGCTAGCACAGCACTAGTGGGCCCTGGCATGACAGCGGCTCGGATCTGGAAGGTCCCGAGTGTGGTCGGCGGGCAGGTGGGAGGTACTGAGCTCTTGGAAGTGGCCTAGCTGCAGCGAGCCTGGCGGGGCCGCACACGGGGTCTCAGTGCCTCTGCGGCCGCCCAGCATCTCCTGCCCCACGCTGTCATCTTTCCCCAGCCACCATAACCCCTCTCCTTTCCTTCCGCCATTCCTCCCCCAAGAAAAAAACCCTGCCAGCCTGAGAAGTGAGTATTCTCATGTAAAACACAGAATTCCCACCCTGTGACAGGTTTCCCGATGCTGGGGTGGGGGAGCCAGTCGTGCGCCTCCCTTCATGTCCTCTGCCCTGCTCTTTTCTAAGCTGAGCCACCTTGAGAAAAACCACCGTCCAGTCAAGTGGCTGGAGTAACCGTCCGCCCCGTTGAACATGCAGCCGAGCTTAGCCGCGACCAGCAGCTGGAGAAGTCAGACAGTTGTTATGCGATGTGCAGAGTGACCTGTTGCCAGGAAAACGAGACTTTTACTTGATCTTCCATAAGGAAAAGGGTCTCGCTAGGAAGCCTTTAGGGGACAGGTAATTATTACAATAAGGTAATGCTATACCCTAAGTCGACCCAACCCTGGAAGAAGAGATTTTCAGCTTGCTCCGGTAGGGAGCTGGGTGGAGAATAGTTTTCATGGTATTTCAAAATGGAAGTTTTGTTTGTTTGTTTGTTTGTTTGTTTTTTTGTAAACAAGCAAAGGGAAGATTACAAACTGAAAACTTTAGAAAATGACTAAATCCCTCTTTCACTCAGTCCCCCATGCCAGCTATAACATATCCCAGTATTTCTCCTTCTTCAGCACGCTTACATACGGACGGTTCCTTTATAAGCACTGGACAGGTCACCTGCAAGGGTTTCCTAGCCCTCTTTCTCTGTCTCTCTCTTAAGTAACTTTAATTCCCTCCTGTTTTTAAAGCAAAGTACCCTGACAATATAGAAATGCTTTGTGAGATAATACATCCAAAAAGTACAATTTGCTGTATCTTACTCCTGGTACATTAAAATGCTGTACTTGGTGGGTTTTTTTCTTATTTCCACAAACAAAAAAAAAGCCTTTTATTTTCTGAAGGTGAGTTGCATATAGCCTCGTTAGCAGACTCTACACAGTTCTTGTTTGCTGTGTTCATTGGCTTAATTGCGTGAGAACAGTCACTGTAACGTGTGGCGTGTGCGTGTGCGCGCGCGGAGGGTGGGGGAAGGGCATGGGAAATGTTTTATGAGAAAAGTTATAAGCCTAATACAATGAGGTAACATCTAATGACGTTCTTTTAAGTGCAATATATTTATTTCTGCTAGAAATGTATTATCAATCTTATGTACTATTGGAAGCATTACGTGTTTGTAAACAGCTTAAAATTATATATTACCCCACTGTACAGAAGTACGGACGTGTGGCTGCCGGTCTCCTTCATTAAAGTGGGGTGTCTGGTGAACACACACACGTGCACGCTCTTGTCCCACACGCTGCACTGTGACTCTCAGTCTGTTTCCTCAGGTGAAAGAGGAGATCAGACCAGAGGGTCCCTGTGGCCCCTTGCAGGCCTGGGTGACAACGCAGCACTTGTTCCATCTCTGGTCACATGTGGAAGTCCCTTCCCTCATCTATCTGCCCGGTGAATGCTCAGAAGCGTGGTTTGGGCGCCTCTGTACTCGGTGATGCCGAAGCCTCAGTTGACAGCTCTCTGGGCCACCCGGGGCCTGGTAAGTGAGGAGCTGGATCCCGTATCCAGCTGCACGGCGTTAGTCCCAGACGTGGTGGCCTGAGAAGCATGCTGGGTGCATGTGTGAGAGTGCCCAGAATCCTGGAAGGAGTGGAGATGGACGAGGGACCAGGGTGCAGCCGTGCCCCCCGGGGGTGACCCCGCACCCCCCACCCCGCCTGTGTCTTTGGCGGGGGCACATCCCACCTGGCCCAACACAAAA